CGTCTCTCTCTCCGCATGTTGTCTGTTCGTTTTAAACTTCGAAGAATGGCTTAAAACAAAACAAACAAACAAAAAACCCGCAAAAATGCTGCCCCAAGGGAGGCAGAGAATGGAGTTGTAATTTTGTTGTGAGCCTCCGAAGGTTGACGGGGATGGGGTTAGGGTCCTTCACCTGTCTTCCCAAAACAAACACACAAAAAAATCGGCTTCAAAGGTCAACGAGCGAGCTTTGGGGCAGGGCAACAAAAGCTGTTCGACGCCTTGGAAGGAAAACGATATAACAGGCGACGTTTCGAGCAATGGCCCATGTGCAGAAGATATACGATGGGTAATTCTTCTCGAGCATATACCAGAGGTCGCAACCGGGTACCCGATACCCGGCTACCCGTACCCGGCTACTCGTACCCGACTGGGTACGGGTACCCGTTTGCGACCCTGGTGCGGCCGGGTACGGGCACGGGTAGACCGTGAGTCACTGGTGAGTCACCGTTTATCACTCATTTCCCAACGTCTTGTCTCTTCTCACAATTCAAGTTCCTAGAATCAACCCACCCGCGCCTGCAACATGGCTTCATCCCAGAGGTCGCAATCAGATACCCGTACCCTACCCGTACCCGGCCGGGTACGGGTAGGGTACGGGTATGGCCGGGTACGGGTAGGGGTACCCATTTGCGACCCTGGTGCGGCCGGGTACGGGTAAGGAATCAAAACCCGTTTGCGACCTCTGGCATATACACTGCCAGCGCTATGTGATTTTTAACCGGCCATTGGGATGGAGGGGGGGGGCCTTTCGTTTCCCAGCTCCTTGAGTCGGTGATACTAGAAAAAAACAACTACTTGGCCACAACGTTCAGTTCTATTGAGTCGGTGGTGTGGGTAAGGCTGTGCCCCTTTTGTACACGCAATATTATCTTGTTATTATTTTGTCATTCGTAAAGCGCCTCTGGCTCAATGAAAGAACGATGCAGGTGGCCAGAGGCGTGCGGGGAGAGATGAGGTCTTGGGGTGGCCACGATGGGGGGTGCGGCGTTTGGGGTTGAGGGGTAGGATAGGGGGTCACGATAAGAGTGGTAAGTTTGGGGATCACGGGAGGGTTATAGGGGAGGGACGGGAATGAGTGGAGGGGCGAGGGGAGGGAAGGAAATGGGTGATGGAGAAGAGGGGGGAGGGGGCTTTAAGAGAGGGGGACGGAATGAAGTTAAGGAGGGGAGATGCTTCATTCACAAGGGGATGTGTGAATCTATTGGCAGTGGTGAGTCTATGGGCAGTGCTGAGTCTGTGGTGCAGTATTGAGTCTATGGTGCAGTGATGAGTCTATGGGCAGTGTTGAGTCTATGGGCAGTGTTCAGTCTATGGGCAGTGTTGAGTCTATGGTGCAGTGTTGAGTCTATGGTGGAGTGTTGAGTCTATGGTGGAGTGTTGAGTCTATGGTGCAGTGTTGAGTCTATGGGCAGTGCTGAGTCTATTGGCAGTGTTGAGTCTATGGGCAGTGCTGAGTCTATTGGCAGTGTTGAGTCTATGGGTAGTGATGAGTCTATGGTGCAGTGATGAGTCTATGGGCAGTGTTGAGTCTATGGGCAGTGCTGAGTCTATGGTGCAGTGCTGAGTCTATGGGCAGTGTTGAGTCTATGGGCAGTGCTGAGTCTATGGTGCAGTGTTGAGTCTATGGGCAGTACTGAGTATGGTGTAGTGCTGAGTCTATGGTGTAGTGCTGAGTCTATGGTGTAGTGATGAGTCTATGGTGCAGTGTTGAGTCTCTAGGCAGTGTTGCGTCTATGGTGCAGTGATGAGTCTATGGTGCAGTGATGAGTCTGTGGTGCATTGATGAGTCTGTGGTGCAGTGATGAGTCTGTGGTGCAGTTTTGAGTCTATGGTGCAGTGTTGAGTCTATGGTGCAGTGTGGAGTCCATGGTGCAGTGTTGTATGTATGTTGAACGTTCTGAAGTGACAAGTTTGTCAATCCGCGTGCACACATACACTCTGCTGGCGCGACTACTCGGTCGAGTAAGTGTCCTGCAATTTGGTTGAGAACTCAGGGTGACCAGGATTGAGTCTCAACGATGCAAATCCTTCCACGGGGGCTACCCCCTTCATCTCTCTCACGTCCCGCACTTCGCTCAGAATCTGAATATTTATTCATAACGGATAAGGAACCCTACGAGCCACGAGATTCTTGTTCACAGATGTCCCGTTCGGGGCCACGGCGTAAGAACGTTACACCAAAAGACACAGTTCCGGGAATCAACGACAGTCGTGCAAAGTCCAAGACAGCTAAGCCGCCCAAACGCACGCACGAATTAACTGGCGTGGCCGCTGGGGAAGGGTGGTGGACCGAACCGGCGAACATCGTCAGAACGTTGCTTTGGCGGGCGGTTCTCGTTCTTTGAAAGTACGATTGCTTTTTTGTGCATCCCTAAAGGGCGAAAACAAATGAAAAACATTTACAATTCAAATTCCAAACCGCGACACGCCTTGTTTTGTTCTGTACGAGATGTAACAGCAGCGTTCTGACGATGTGCACTTCTGAAATCTGCCCCCGGACTATCCATGTTTTACTTTTTATTAAGCCTATTATTTTTTTGCAGCAGCATCATCATCATCATCCTCGTCGTCGTCATTATGAACCTAAGATCCGGCCAGAATCTGAATATTGTATTGATCCTATACTTAATTTGGAGCTTTCGTGACTGCAGGAATTACTCTTTGGTTCTTTCGGTAAAGTCACGTATCAAGAGAAAATAATAAATTAAATACTAGCATACGACGTTTCGATTGCAACACAAGCAATAGATCCTGCAGGTGGAGGAATGGGATGTGCAGTGAGTCTCTTTTTAAATCCTTTATATTAAGTTCACTTGCTTGCTTGCGTGCTTACGACCGTGCAAATCTTTCGGTCGTTTTTTAACCCACTTCCCGTGACCCAATCGAGCTGACATTTTGCACACAGACTCGTTGTGCGTGACAATTTATTTTCGTGAAAAAAATTCCAAAATTTTACACTTTTTAGGATTTTTAAAAAAATATATTTCATTACCAATTGCTTAATGGTGGCAGACAATCATCTGACCCATAGGTGGCAGCCATCTCAAGCCAGAGGACGAGAGGACTCTAGCCGTCACGCATATAAAGGATTTTTAGTGAAAAACTTTGTTTTTACGGGTTATACTTGTTTTTTATTCCCGCAGATGTCTCGTAGGTTGCGTGGGTGTCGGCAAGTTCCATCGACAAACGAACGAATACAGAAGGCGATGTGAGTGCAACATAGAGAAGACGACAACTAAAACTAGACTATGTTTTTTTTTTTTATTTGACCAGGGTAAGGCCTCCACTGAGCTCTTACAGCTCGTTTTAGAACGCGGCCTGGCTATGACAAATGATGGCTCAACTGAGTGGGCTTCATCTTCTTGGTTCTTTCGGTAAAGTCACGTAGAAGGACAGTAATAAAATAATAAAAATAAAACATAATAAAATAATTCTCACGACGTTTCGGCCACAACGCAAGCAGCCGTCCTCGGGTGAAGACCAGGTCTGTCGGGGAGACAGCGTTCTCATCGGCATCACGCGGAAATAGCAGCAGCGACCTACACTAATCCCGTGGCGTTGATGCTAAATGGTGGAGTGGAAAAGCCGGAGGACCCGGAGAAAAATCCACGTAACCATGGGGAGAGAGACACCGCAAAATCCAAGTATACAGTAGGCGTCAGGGTCAGGATTGGAACCCACGACCTCCTGTATACCAGGCGAGGTAGTTAACATCTCATAGGCACCATGATGATGATGAGAGAGACGCAAACTCCAAGTATACAGCAGGCGTCAGGGTCGGAATCGGAACCCACAACCTCCTGTATACCAGGCGAGGTAGTTAACATCTCCGAGCCACCGTGATGATAATGATGAGAGAGAGAGAGATACGCAAACTCCAAATATACAGCAGCAGCAGGCATCGTCAGGGTTGCGATCGAAACCACGACATCCTGCATACCAGGCGAGGGAGTTAACATATCCTAGCCACCGTGATGATGATGATGAGAGAGACACAAACTCCAAATATACAGCAGGCGTCAGGGGGTCGGGGATCGAACCCACAACCTCCTCCATACCAGGCGAGGTGGTCAACATCTCCTAGTCACGATTCCCACCCGTTCCAACCCGCAACTCTCGTTCTTTGTAAAAAGAAAGAAAGAAGGAACCGCCCTGTTAGTCATCGCTCCCACACCCTCCGATTAGCGCGGTTGGCTACGTACGGCGCGAAAGAAGTTCAACACATACATTGCATACAAATGTACTACCGCGGTATTGACCAGGGTGGCCCCCGAAGTTCGAACCACGAAACCTCTTGCTACTTCTGCTGCTGCAACAAAGAACGGGCTGCGAACCGCGCTACGGCTGGGTCCGTGACACCGCCCCTGAGAGTGCGGGAGGGTCGTGCGTGGTGGGTGGGGGGTAGAGAGGGGGGTAGTAGAGGGGGTGGTTGGGTGGTAGAGAGGGTTGGTGGGTGGTAGAGAGGGTGGGTGGGTGGTAGAGAGGGTTGGTGGGTGGGTGGTAGAGAGGGTTGGTGTGCAAGGGGGTCAGTGGTAGAGAGGGTTGGTGTGGAAGGGGGTGGGTGGGTGGTAGAGAGGGTGGGTGGTAGGGGGTGGGTGGGTGGTAGAGAGGGTGGGTGGTAGAGGGGGTGGGTAGTAGAGGGGGTGGGTGTGTGGGTGGTAGAGAGGGTTGGTTGGTGGGTGGGTGGGAGAGAGTAGGGTGGGTGGTAGAGAGGGTTGGTGTGGTATGGGGTGGGTGGGTGGTAGAGGGGGTGTGTGGGTGGTAGAGATGGTGGGTGGGTGGTAGAGAGAGGGGTTGGTGTAGTATGGGGTGTGTGGGTGGTAGAGATGGTGGGTGGGTGGGTGGTAGAGAGAGGGGTTGGTGTGGTATGGGGCGTGTGGGTGGTAGAGATGGTGGGTGATAGAGAGAGGGGTTGGTGTGGTATGGGGTGTGTGGGTGGGTCGCCCGGTTTTCCCCGCTGCCGCGTGCCGCGTGTTGTCAGGGGGTCAGTGTCTGTCTCAGACGGAGGGGTCACTTCGGTCGTGTCGTCTCTCGGGCGTCAACGGGCACGAGCAAGACCCACCTTGACGACACCGTCACACAGGTGAGCAGGTGAGTGAGTGTCGAGTCAAACTCCGACTGTCAATCCACAGATGGATGAGGGTTATCCCGCGCGTGAATTATTTAATCAGCAGCGAGTTTTGACGCTCTTTCAGTTAACGTCAGTTTCAAACTTCAAAAGAATATGTAAATTTCGATTTTAAGCTTTCGTGACTGCAGGGATTCATCTTCTTGGTTCTTTCGATAAAGTCACGTGACTTTACCGAAAGAACCAAGAAGAAGAATATGTAACTTTTATTTTACCGGGTATGAAAGCCCACTGAGCTGTTAGTTATTCTTTTGTTTAAAGAAGCGACCTGGATATCACAATGAAGTGGGATTGTTACCGTGTGGAAATGTGTAGCAGCAGCAGCCACATGATCTATGAACGCGCGATGTTGATTTTAAATGTGTCGGGGAGGGCAAAAAAACTGGAGGAGCCGGAGGTAAAAAAAATCCACGCGATCACAGAGGAGCGAGATAGACACCACAAACTCTATACAGCAGGCGTCAGGGTCGGGATCGAACCTAAGACCTCCTTTATACCAGGCGAGGTAGTTAACATCTCCTAGCCACCGTGATGATGATGAGAGAGAGACACGCAAACTCTAAATATACAGCAGCAGGCGCCAGGGTCTAGATCGAACCCACGACTTCCTGCGTACCAGGCGAGGTAGTTAACATCTCCTAGCCACCGTGATGATGATGAGAGAGAGACACGCAAACTCTAAATATACAGCAGCAGCAGGCGTCAGGGTCTGGATCGAACCCACGACTTCCTGCGTACCAGGCGAGGTAGTTAACATCTCCTAGCCACCGTGATGATGATGAGAAAGAGACACGCAAACTCTAAATATACAGCAGCACGCGTCAGGGTCTGGATCGAACCCACGACTTCCTACGTACCAGGCGAGGTAGTTAACATCGCCTAGCCACCGTGAATTCCGCCCCCTCCGCATTGGTGGAGTCGAAACTGGCGAACCTCGCACCGGGTTGTGAAACACGGTGCGTGGTGCGAGGTGGTGTTGCTGTTACAACATCCTTGAGTGGGGCAGCCCTAAATGAATCATGGGCTTATCTATCAGGAGGCAGTAACAGCAATGACCCATTGCCCTACGCCACTATAATCTGCTCAAGTCAATGTTCGCCTCCCCTCTCTCGCTCTCTCACCTGGGTGGTGTGTCCAGGAGGTCGTGGGGTTCGATGCCAACCCTGACGCCTGCTGCTGTAGATTTGGAGTTTGCGTGTCTCTCTCTCTCTTATCATCATCACGGTGGCTATGAGATGTTAACATCTCAGCCACCGCGACGCCCAGCATGAATGTGGCGAGCAATTTCGGAACTGATAGTGGCTATGACTCAGCTGTAAATGAGTTCTTGTACCTGGCACCGGTTGTATAAGGACCCGATTAAGTAGTGTATAGTGTATTGGATGAACGTTGAGATCTAGAAGGGCACGGGGTGATCAATAAGGTCTGAATTGGTCTCTCATAAGATAGGGGGCTGATCCGGGATTGACAGGTATGCACATACCAATTTGAAAACTGATCACGAAATAATTTGGAAATGCAACTCTCATCATGGCCCCCTAAACTCTTATCATCCACTCACTCTCTCTGTTTATGTGCCACGGCATAGGGTCGTTGCCCGAAACGTCGCCCAGCACGTGTCCGTTTCGAGGCGATGCACACTGCTTGTTATTGGCGAATGCGTTGGGTCCTTTTCCCCCGATAGTGGCCTGATTATAGGAATGTGTGTGTGCGTATGTGTCTGTGTGTATGTCTGCGTGTGAATGTGTTTATGTGTGTATGTGTGCGTGTGTGTGTCTGTGTGTATGTCTGCGTGTGAATGTGTCTATGTGTGCATGTGTGTATGTGTGCGTGTGTGTGTGTGTATGTCTGCGTGTGCATGTGTCTGCGTGTGTCTGTGGGTGCGTGTGCGTGTGTGTGCGTGTGTCTGCGTGTGCTACGAACCTGGCCAACCCAGGTTCGATTCCCGCTCACGGCCAACACCGGTGACGATTATCTGCACCGGTCCTGGGCCTTCCCTAGGTCGACCCAGTCTCAAATGAGTACCTGGTGTGGTGTGTAAACATCGCCACTGGGAAGACAAAGGCGGGCGGGCGTGCGTGGTGCTGGACACCCAGCCCTCGTGTGCCGTTCTGGCCTTCATAGTTACTGCTCGCGAACAGCACTTGTCCTCAACAGCCTGCTAATGGCTATACGGGGGATCTTTGTCTTGCTGTGTGTACAGGATGGAAGCTATTATTGTGCTTTGCAAGGCACTGATGTATGCCGCGTGTTTTCTGGTAATCATCACGCGAGCGTTCGTCAATGCAGCATTGTTCACCATCAGGGTGAGCTGAGTGCATGCACACGCACACACACGCACGCACGCGCACGCACACACGCACGCACACACACACGCACGCACACACACGCGCACGCACACGCACGCACACACACGCACGCACACACGCACGCACACACACACACACGCACACACACACGTGCACGCACACACGTGCACGCACGCACACACGTGCATGCACACACACACGCACGCACACACGTGCAGACACACACACATGTGCACGCACACACACACGCGCATGCACACAAAAAGACAAAGATCCCCCTTATAGCCTGAAACAGACTGTTGGGGCAAGTGCTGTTAGCGATCACCTATGAAGGCCAGCATGGCACACGAGGGGGTGGGTGGCCAGCACCACCGCCCAGCCGCCTTTGTCTCCCCAGTGGCGATGTTTACACATCGCACCAGGTACTCATTTGAGGCTGAGTCGACCTAGGGGAGACTCAGGACCCGTTCAGATAATCGTCACTGATTTTGGCCGTGAGCGGGAATCGAACTCGGGTCGCCAGGTTCCTAGCGCTAACCGCTACACCACCGCTCCCCACACACACACATCCACACGCACACTCGGGCTGAACGATGAATCGATTTCAAATCGAAATCGCAATTTGAAACAATGCGCTTAGCAATTCGCAAAGGCTTCGATTTTTCAAGTCCTATTATTATAACATTACTTATTTAACTTAACAATTGTTCTATGTTTGATTGTTCTATTTCAATTAAAACATTTTAATAAATACATGCTGGAAGCAATTGATTTCTTTTAAGTTCTCATCCTCGCATTAGAATATATAGAGCAGTTCATATTTTGACGGTATCATGTGGTAATGCTCCATCACATGTTTTAAATCTCTTCCACAGTGAATATTGAACTGAGGCTTAACTTTATAAAAATGTAATCGCAACATATGTCAGAAACATCGCAATTAGAGATTTCCCCCAAATTGTTCAGCCCCAACGTCGCACACACATATGCACACATCCACACAAAGATCCCCCCGTGTAGCCTTAACAGACTGTAGGGGCAAGTGCTGTTAGCGAACACCTATGAAGGCCGGAACGGTACACGAGAGGGGGTGGGTGGCCATCACCACGCCCGACCGCCTTTGTCTCCCTAGTGGCAATGTTTACACACCACACCAGGTACTCATTTGAGGCTGAGTCGACCTAGGGGAGGCCCGAGACGGGTTCAGATAATTGTCACTGATGTTGTGCGCGGGAATCGAACCTGTGTCGCCGGGTTCATAGCGCAGCGCGCTAACCACTACACTACCGCTCACACAGACACGTACACACACGCATTGCACATACAGCCACACGCACACACACACACGCTCACACACACTCACAGAAACCTTCTGCCCTGGTTTGATAATTCTGAATGTCGACCCACAAGAGGCAACGCTTCTCAACGTGTGGATGTTGTTGAACTTCTTTGGCGCCGTAAGTAACCAACCCCGCGCTACTCACAAAAAGCAGCCCTGGGGAATTGAGTTTGTCAATGTGGATGACGATGATGACGATTTTAAAGTGCAGCGAAACTCGCAGTAGCTTTCTAACATGGAGACGTCCATAAATGACGTCACGCACCTGGGGGGGGGGCAGATATTTGTGACGATGTGTGACGAGGGGGGGGGGGGTTGAGAGATGTAACGTCACATCAAAATGTACAACTTTAAATAAATGTAGACAACACGTTCTACTTAATTAAATAGACTTTGGTAAATGTTTTCTCCTACAATATCAGAGTGCAGCACCACATTGAATACGCACTACAATGACAATAGTTTAAAGCGATTTGAAGCATGTTTTATTTTTGGGGGGGGGGGGGGGGGCAGAGCTTTGTGACGTCATATTTGAGTGGGGGGGGGTCTGACTTTTTGTGACGCCGTGTGACGAGGGGGGGGGGTCAAAAATCGTCCAAAATCGCGTGACGTCATTTATGGACGGCCCCTATCGGAAGGAAGAGCGCGTTCCAGACGGCCGCAGGGAGCGGCGCATCTTGTAAGCGCCGCGCGGCGATGGTGACGACTTCACCCTTTTACTCGATGGGCTGTCGATGATTGTTTTGTTTTGTTGATACATTGAACAACATAAAATAAAACCCCGTCGTGTCTTTCGTCGCTTTCAGGATTCGTTTGAATTGAACGACGACGCGGAGCCGGGAGATGAACGAGTTTGCAGAAAGAGAGAAAATATCGAAAGGTAAATTAAGTGCTTTGAGGGCCGTCCATAAATGACGTCACGCACCTATGGTGGGGGGGGGGGCAGATATTTGTGACGATGTGTGACGAGGGGGGGGGGGGTTGAGATATGTGACGTCGCATCAAAATGCGCAACTTTAAATAAATATAGACAACACGTTCTACTTAATTAAATATACTTTTTGAATAAATGTTTTCTCCTACAACATCAGAGTGCACCGCCACATTAAATACGCACTACAATGACAATAGTTTAAAGCGATTTGAAGCGTGTTTTATTTTTTGGGGTGGAGGCGGGGGGTCAAAAATCGTCCAAAATCGCGTGACGTCATTTATGGACGGTCCCTTTGTTGGTAAGCTGGTCGGTGTCCATGCCCGGTGCTGGGTTCCTGCTGCCCTACCAACTCGGAATCTGCATGGCTCTGCACGCGCACGGCGTGCCCATCGCTCACGCGGCCGGCTCCTCCAGCGGCTCACTGGCAGCAGCCCTGCTCACCCTGGCTCCTCACAGGAGCAAGGTGGCTCACACTCACCCACCTGAACACTCACTCACTCACCTGTACACTCACTCACCTGTACACTCACTCACCTGTACACTCACTCACTCGGATACTCACTCACTCACATGTATACTCACTCACCTGTACACTCACTCACCTGTACCCTCACTCACTCACCTGTACACTCACTCACTCGGATATTCACTCACTCACATGTATACTCACTCACTCGGATACTCACTCACATGTACACTCACTCACCAATACACTCACTCACTCGCCTGTACACTCACTCAGCTGTACACTCACTCACCCGGATACTCACATGTACACTCACTCACTCACCTGTACACTCACTCACCTGTACACTCACTCATCCTGTACACTCACTAACTCACTCACCTGTACACTCACTCACCTGTACCCTCACTCACTCACCTGTACACTCACTCGGATATTCACTCACTCACATGTACACTCACTCACTCACCCGGATACTCACTCACTCGCCCGTACACTCACTCACTCAGCTGTACACTCACTCACCTGTACACTCACTCACCCGTACCCTCACTCACCCACCTGTACACTCACTCACTCACCCATACAATCACTCATTCACCCGGATACTCACTCGCCTGTACACTCACTCACTCACCTGTACACTCACTCGCCTGTACACTCACTCATCTGTACACTCACTCACCTGTACACTCACTCACCTGTACACTCATTCATTCACCTGTACACTCACTCACTCGCCTGTATACTCACTCATCTGTACACTCACTCACCTGTACCCTCACCTGTACACTCACTTACCTGTACACTCACTCACGCGTACACTCACTCACCTGTACACTCACTCACCTGTACACTCACTCACCCACCTGTACACTCACTCACCCACCCTGGCTCCTCACAAGTGACTCAAAGGCTCCACAGTGGGGGATCTTTGTCTTTGTCTGTTTTTTTTGTGTGTTCCAGGAAATGTCGTCGATGGTGAGTTCGTACGCAGCGCAAGGACACGGAGCGACCCTGAGTTTCAGACTCATTCCCAAGCTGAGGTGTGTGAGAACAAACAAAGACAAAGATCCCCCGTGTAGCCTTGACAGACTGTTGGGGCAAGTGCTGTTAGCGAGTAGCACATACGAAGGCCGATACGACACACCGCCACTCTTAGGTACTCATTTTAGGCTGAGTCGACCTTGGGGAGAAGGCCCAGGACCGGTTCAGATAATCGTCACTGGTGTTGGTGGCTGTGAGCGGGAATCGAACTTGTGTCGCCGGGTTCCTAGTAGTGCAGCGCGCTAACCGCTACACTACCGCTCCGCTGGAATCACACAGACATGCACACACACACGGAGACACGCACAGACACACACACACAACAACAACCACCATTCACACTAAGTGGCGGTGACGTCACCACGGCGCTTGTGCCAGGCGATGTGCACGTTGAGGCCACGTAAAGTTTCGAACACCCGCTGGCTTGAGGTGACGGGGCAGACCCAGGTGTCATGGGTCGACTGACTGTGCCAGATTGCTGTGTTTAGCTGCCCGGCACTCAGCTCCAAATCCTCTTGTACCACCACATCACTCCATCTCTTCTCTAGCCTGTGCTGCGCCCGTTTAGCCCCCCTCTATCTGGCCGAGCAAAAGCTGTTTAGGCATGAGGTGGCTGGGTATGCTGGCTACATGACCCAGCCAACGCAGCCTTGCCTGCCGGAGCAGCTCACCGATGGGCCTAAAAATTTCTAACCGTCGATGTCCCATTAGGGGGGTCCAGGTTTCGCAAGCGTAGAGAAGGGAGGGCATGACTGTGGCTGAGAAGACCTGAAGCTTCGCGTGGAGCGACAGACCAGGTAGCTTCCACACAGCATTACGCAACTGATGAAAAGATAATGCCGCTCAACTGATTCGGAGTGAGACCTCTGCTGTCAAACCAGAGCCAGTCATGAGCATATTGCCCAGGTATGGGAAACTCTCCACGCTCTCCACAACTGCCCCATTACCAATTGTGAGTTGTGGAGTGTCCGATGGTACAAAATAACCAGGCAGGTGCTTAGTTTTGGTGGGGTTGATGGTAAGGCCCCACCTCTTAATGGCAAGCTCCAGGTTCAGCAGCATCGCCTCCAACTCCTCTGAGTGAACAGCAATTACCAGATTATCAGCATACATAACGTGGTTGACCAATATTGAGCAATCCCTTGACCGCACCCGGGCATCGATCAGCCTCCCATTGTATCTGTACCATATGGAAATTCCTCCGATACAGCCATGGAAAGCTTCACGAACTATGTTGTTGAAATAGATGATACATAATTTGGGAGCCAAAGGACATCCCTGTCGCACCCCAAGATGAACATGGAAAGGCTCCGACTCCCGGCCACGTAGTTTTACCCGGGCCTGCTCACCATCATGAAGGTCCTTAATGATTGTGAGCAGAGATTCAGGGACTCCAAAAGCACAAAGAACAACCCAAAGCCCAGGCCTACTGTTCGTATCATAGGCCTTGACCAGGTCAATAAAGCAGAGATGTAGGTCTTGTTGGAATTCCCTACACCTCTGCTGTAGCAGACGGACAGAAAATATGGCATCTGTGCAGGACTGCCTTTTTTCATAATCACATTGGGGCTCTGTAAGCCTTTCCTCAGCGTGCCTGGCAAGGCGATGTTGAATAACCTTGCCAATAATTTTTCTGGTACACTGAGGAGTGAGATGCCCCTGTAGTTGTTACAGTCTTTGCGGTCCCCTTCTTAAAGAGGGGGACCACCGGATTGTTATTATGATGCCATGTAGGACAGCGTACGCACAAACGCCACCCTCCCTCAGCATTTGGCCTGAGAGATCATCTCAACCCGGTGCTTTTTCTGGCATCAGACTCTGGATCGCCTTCTATACTTCCAAAAGAAATAGCACCTCAACCAGCCACTCACAGGGGGCGATTACTTCAATATTTGAGGCACCGCAGCCTCAGCAGGGTCATCCCCACTTTGCTCCATGATGTGTTCCAGGCTGAGGGATTTCCCCCTTCCCCAAGACCTCAGAAATGCTCATCAAATTTGCAAACCTGTTCCTGAAGGTAGGAAATTAGATCACCGTTCTTTCCCCTAATAGTGGTGATAGGTGTGGTGCTGCAAGTTACTGTTTTGATGGAGTTACAGAGTGATTTGTGATCACGAGCTATTGAGGCAGACTCCATCTTCTCAGGAACCGCGACCACCACCCATCCTTCCAGCGTCTCACGTCTCTCCGAACCTCCGAGCGAAGGCTGCAGTTAGCCAACTCGTTCTCTGACATGGGATGCTGTAGCCGATGAGAGTGGGCCTGTGGCTTTCCTCAGCCAGCTTGAACACCTCCTCTGTCAGCCATGGGTCTCTGGGGAGGTCTGGACCGTGCGTGTACCCATAGCAGCCATTGCAGCTGCATGAGCCACAGTGCTAAACCTCGCCCATTTCCCCACGGCATCAGGAGGAGTGGGGGACGCTATAACGGTGCGCTCATTCCGCGTTATTAACGGTGTGCGCATTGTAATGGTGTATGCGTTCCGCGTTATAACGGTGCGGGCGTTCCACATAACAGCGTGCGCGTTCAGCGTTATAACAGCGCGTATTCCTCGTCGTGCCAAAAGTGTTTCCTAATGGAAGAACGGCGCGATATAGTGAAGACGCATTGGGAACACGCATGCCTCACACCTAGAAGCCAACCGTGCTCATTGGAGGTGCTATTATTCTTATCATTACTACATGGTGGGGGTTATCTGTCTTTGTTCCTTACAGAGAGATTCTGGAGCAGATTCTACCACTGGACTCTCACACCCTGGCCACCGGGCGTCTCTTTGTATCGGTGACTCGACTTCCTGATGGACAGAACCGCATCATATCGGACTTCGACACGAGAGAGGAGCTCATACAGGTACGTAAGTGTGTACGTATGTTGGAACTTCTTTCGCACCATACGTACCCAACCATGCTAATCAGAGGTGCAGGGGGGAAGGGCAACAAACTAAACACGAAAAGCAGTTTTAAAGACACGTAGAAGGGAAGTAATAAAATAATAAAAATAAAACATAATAAAATAATTCTCACGACGTTTCGGCCACAACGCAAGCAGCCGTCCTCAGGTGAAGAACAGGTCTGTCGAGAAGACAGCGTCTGAATGACAACCCCTACTTGTGAAATGCGTAGGGGGTTTGGCGAGGGGTTTAAAGTCATTATGCCCGTGCATTATGCAGGATTAGCAGCATCAAAGGGAGGGGGTAGGGGTAGCATTAATAAAGAGAAGGAATGTTAATAGTATGTATCTGCAGTAACTAAACCACCACGTAAACAACTAAAGTAAAGTTCGATTGCCACACTCGTTAAATGCTCACCTATCAGCGCTGCATTTGCATCTGCCCTCCTTCTCCTCCAGGTTCTGCTGGCAAGCTGCCTCTTTCCGTTTTATTCGGGAATCTCTGGGATATGCTATAGAGGAGAGGTAAATGTGATTTCGTTTCTTCCTCGCCCTCTCCCTTGCCCACCGAACACCCCCCAGAAATATTCCCGCTGTGATATTCCACTCAGACAGTGCAAAAAATGTATTGCTAGCTTGGAAACAACGGCCACCCGCTCTTTAATAGTCTTTCTTAAAAACAGATTCGCCTGCGTGCATTTAAAAAACACGTTTGAAATGTGTGTAAACTCTGGACGGATCGTCAGGACACGGGCCTTAAATAATAACATAATAATAATCTTACCAGATCAAATAAATCAAGTCTTTATTTCTATCGCACTATTTCGTGCAAAGGATGCCATTCAAAGTGCTGTATAGATATTTTAAAAAACATTATTAAAAGACTCAATCACAAGAATAATAAAAGCAAATTCCATACAAAACAAAATTTCATTATAATAAGTTACTTTCGAATGCATATTAAAAAAATAACACTATAAAAGTAAAGGTGAGTTTTTAGATTTAACTTAATACTGCTTAATGATTGTGAAGATCATTTTGCTGGAGAGCTGTAGAAAGAAGTGGGCTCGGAGTAAGACAAATAGTTTGAGGAATTTAAATAATAAAAGCGGTGAACAGAGGGTCACTGACGTTGGCGTCAAACAGAGGTCGCAAACGGGTTTTGATTCCTTACCCGTACCCGGCCGCACCAGGGTCGCAAACGGGTACCCGTACCCGGCCGTACCCGTACGGGTAGGGTACGGGTATCGGGTACCTGATTGCGACCTCTGGGATGAAGCCATGTTGCAGGCGCGGGTCGGTTGATTCTAGGAACTTGAATTGTGAGAAGAGACAAGACGTTGGGAAATGAGTGACAAACGGTTACTCACCAGTGACTCACGGCCTACCCGTACCGGCCGCACCAGGGTCGCAAACGGGTACCTGTACCCGTACCCGGCCGGGTACGGGTAGCCGGTTATCGGGTAGGGTACGGGTATCGGGTACCCGGTTGCGACCTCTGGCGTCAAAGCAAAATAAATCGAGCGGGAATGGGAAATGGCAGGATGCGTCCCGGTGGCAGATGTTACCCACCTCGACCTGGTATACAAGGAGGTGGTGGGTTTTGTTATTGTTTACCATTTTAACTTGCTGACCTGCCCCTGCTGGAAAGCTGTGAAAGAGAGCTTCATAGCTCATCCTCCAGTATAAGTAAAGATTCTGATTCGGAACATTACAAGTAATTGACGAATATTAAACTAATTTATTTACCAGGTAACACCCACTGAGCTATATGGCTCTTTTTCCAGAAGTGACCTGGCCACAAATGATAGCTAAACAAAGCGGCTTATCTCGTGGAAATATATAGTCACAGCCAAATAATCAAAACACACGGTTCTAGTAAATATGGAGGGAAAAAGCGGGAGGATCTGGAGAAAAATCCACGTGGCCACGGCGAGAGAGACACCGCAAACTCCAAATATACAACAGGCATCGTCAGGGTCATAGATCAAACCCCAGACCTCCTACATACCAGACGAGGGAGATAACATCTCGCGGCCCGTTTCTTCTAACCACTGCTGTTGCCGTCACCTTCCCAGATGTACTGCGACGGAGGGTTCACCGACAATCAACCCTTCCCCAAGTTGGCCCAGCCCTGCGGAGTCTCCGCCTCGCAAGGCCTCATCAGCGTGTCGCCTTTTGAGGGCACGCAGGCCATCTGTCCGCGCGGCATCTGCCCGACGGACGGGCGCATCCTGCGGTATGCCGGCCTCGATTTCAAGGTGAATATCAGTCACGAGTTATAACTCGTCCATATCTGTATGGGACCTGTTGTTTTTTCTCAGTATCAAAATGATGGCGAGATGTTAACCACCTCGCTTGGTATACAGGAGGTCGTGGGTTCGATCCCGATCCCGACACCTGTTGTATATTTGGAGTCTGCGTGTTTCTCTCTCTCCCCGTGGTTGCGTTCATTTGTCTCCGGGTCCTCCGTTTTTTCCCCCTCCAAATTTAGAATCGACGTTACGCCTTTCGAGTTATTTGGCTTGCTGCTATACATTTCCACGTCATGATGACGATAAGCTGCCCACTTAATTTAGCTATCATGTGTAATAGTAAGGGTCGCTTCTGAAAAGAAGCGCTACATAGCCTCAGTGCGGGCCTTACCTGGTAAAATAATAAAAACGGGTATCCATTACCAGTTCCGTTTGAAAATGTGTCACGTGATAAAACGAGTTGCTACAAATCGTCGGGCAGATCGCTGGAGAGTAAGAGTCTGCCTCTACTGTGAGCAACTGGTTGCAGAGACGTCCGTGTATTTCAGTTGCACACAACCAATTGCGGGAACTGATCGCTCAGGTGGTGATCCGATTGAATCTTGTGTTGTTTTGTTGCTGTGTGACTGCGAATGCAGATGGGAATGGCCAACCTGCAGCGCCTTTGGCACGCGCTCTTTCCGCCGTCGCGCGAGAAACTGGAGCTCTACTTCGAGGATGGCTATAGAGATGCGATGGATTTTCTTGAGCAGATCAAGGCTCACTGACACAACGGCTTCACAGTGTTTGTGTGCAACGATAAAATAAATGTCCGCAAACCTGCGTGATCAGTTGCTGCAATCGGTTGTGTGCAATCGGTTGTGTGCAACTGAAATGCAAGGACGTCTTTGCAACCAGTTGCTCACAATAGAGAGAGACTCTTACTCACCAGCGATTGGCTGGATGATTCGTAGCAACGCGTTACTTATCACGTGACACATTTGTAAACTACATAAGTGATCAGGTGACGATCACTTGTGTTGCGATCGAAACGTCATAGTTTTTTTGTAATTGATGATCGCTTGTGTTGTGATCGAAACGTCGTAGTTTTTTAAAAGTTTTTTTTTACCTATCTACATGACTTTACCGAAAGACCCAAAGAATATGAATACCTGCAGTCACGAAAGCTTTAAGTCAAGATTTGTATGACTACATTAACCCCCCCCCCTTCTGGTCTTTGCATATTATTGGCTCACAAGTCATGACATCACATCAATCCCCTCTATTTAAGATGGAACCAGGAAGAGGATTTCTCCACAATTCTCTGGCTGTCACCTGATGAGGCTGCTTGTAGTTACTCGCAAAATGTCGTACTCGAATTGGAAATGTTCTGGGTTTACTCTCCAACACACCGGTGTGCTGTACTAATAACGATTTGCTATGTTTTTTAAAAGTGAAAACCTTACTAATTAGCTGTGTCGAGTGGTGGCGGGTTTAACGGCATTTATATTTGCGCGTTATGACCCAAAATAACCTCTTATAAATAATAGTTGTTGCGAAAGCCTACGTGTTAAACTGTCGTTGGTTGTTTAAATTAACCACACATGTACTTTTAGTCTCCCTGTTGCCTTGTTGCGTCATTGCATGTGTAGTGACATAGCGGATGTCACTGTGTAATGCCGGGCCCGGAGAGGCACGGCGTGCGGTGTATTGACATCACGGGCACCACAAGTATGTGGGTGCAGTACCGGCCCTAGAGGGGCTTGGTGAGCGCTGATCGATAGCGCTGGATGGCACTACGCGTGGCGTGCAGTGCCGACCCCTACAGCATAGGGTGTGAGAGTGCTGGCCATGGGAATGGGGTTACTATAGGCCGTGGCACTCTGGTTGACCCCAGAAGACACATGACCGGTTAAGTCTACACAGGGGCCCCAAGTGGGGACTAGGGATGGTCACGTGTCAGGGTTGAGATCCTGCTCGAGGATTCTAGAAGGTGGTCGTGGCCAAGGGCGGAGCCAGCCACACCACAGAGGATATAAGCCGGGTCCCCCAGAGGGACTGGCTGCTTTGTTCATCCTGAAGAAATCTACGAAATACTGTACAGCCCACCATGCTTTGGACTGTACATACTGTACGGCCCACCACGCTTTGGACTGTACATACTGTACGGCCCACCACGCTTTGGACTGTACATACTGTACGGCCCAATACGCTTTGGACTGCACATACTGTACACCCCAACACGCTTTGGACTGCACATACTGTACGGACCAACACGCTTTAGACTGTATATACTGTACGGCCCAACACGCTTTAGACTGTACATACTGTATGGCCCAATACGCTTCGGACTGTACATACTGTACGGCCACCACGCTTCGGACTGTACATACTGTATGGCCCACCACGCTTTGGACTGTACATACTGTATGGCCCACCACGCTTTGGACTGTACATACTGTACGGCCCACCACACTTTGAAATGTACATACTGTACGGCCAACCATGCTTTGGACTGTACATACTGTACTGACCCACCACGCTTTGAACTGTACATACTGTACGGCCAACCATGCTTTGGACTGTACATACTGTACGGCCAAACATGCTTTGGACTGTACATACTGTACAGCCCAACACGCTTTAGACTGTACGTACTGTATGCCTAACACGCTTTGGACTTTACATACTGTACGACCCACCATGCTTTGGACTGTACATACTGTATGGTCAAACACGCGTTGGACTGTACATACAGTACGCGCCACCACATTGGAAGGTAGACGCTCCTACTGTCCCTCACCCTCCCAGTTTAGTAAGTTAGAGTGTACGTTATATATATTAAATTACCTGTCTAGTAAAATGTGCATATTTACATGTCAAATATATCTTATTGTGTTGAGAAGCGTTATTTTAATAGGTTTAGGGTGAGAAGATATATTAGGAACGTATCTTCTAGGATATATAATCCGTCCTTTTGGGAGAATGTTCGATTCATGATGTTGCAATTAACGTTCGAGTTTTCTAGAGTGCAACCCATATATATTGAGGCATTACTGGGAATACACGCAATAGTTATTATAAGCTGTGTATTAAACAAACGCCTCTTAAGAGTTCACATACAGAAACAGGTACGGAAAAGGTTATTTATGTTCAAGACTCATTCATATTTATGGGATTCATAATGGTCATGTCAGAGACTCTGAACCAACCCTTATAGACTTTCTGTTTTCGAACCCCACATCTTCCATGTATTGATGTTGAACTTCTTTCGCACCATACGTATAAAACCACACTAATCGGACGGACGGACGGGGGAAGGACAACAAACTAAACAGAAAAAGCAATTATAAAAATATTAGTTTTCAATCTTGATGATTTAAAAGTGCTTAGCTCCAGTGGCTTCCTAATATCAGAAGGAAGAGCATTCCAGATGGCCGCGGAAGCGCATCTAGAAGCGCCGCGCGATGCGGTGACCCTCTTTGTTCGATGGCCATCCTAAGCCGCCAGTTCACGTGATGATTTCCATGGTGCCCAACGGAAAATAGGATCAAAACAAAAACAGTGTACAGTGTTCCCGTGTTATTCACGAACCTGCATGCGCGATTGTGGCTATCCACGAAGTGGATCCAGAACCCTACCTGACTGCATCTAGAGAGAGAAAGTGATGAGATAAGTTATGAGAGATAAAGTAATAAGATTAAGTGATGAGAGAAAAAGTGACGAGATAAAGTGACAGAGATCAAGTGATGAGAGATTGCATAAAGCTTTTAGTAGGCCAATATCATTATCCACGAAATCTTCAGTCACGAGCATCTCCGGAACATATATCTTGTCACAAATCATGAGGGAAGTGCTTTCAACAGAATAGAGAAGTACATGGAGAAATCACATTCGGGCGGCCAACCCCGTGTATAGCAGTAAGTATTGGGACCTTTTGCTGCAAAAGAAGACGTAAAATCCCCCCCCCCGCCCATGGACCAGATCCGTAACGATATCCATATCAACTACCGCCCACGCTCGCGTGAAAATGTCAGAACAATTTCCCCAATGCAAGTGACCTCAAACCCGAGAGATCGCGCAATGACAGGGCGCGTTGTGAAACCGGAGCGAAGGAAGCACGTGTGATTGACCGAACAAACACCCTCTTCTTCGAATTTTGACTTAAAACTTTAGTGGCTGCAGGAATTCATATTCTTGGTTCTTTCGGTTAAAGCCACGTAGATATAAAAAATAAAAGTAAATAAATTTGTTTGATTATTTTTCCTTTTATTTTTTCTATCTATGTGACTTTACCAAAAGAACCAAGAATATCCTCCCGTTCGGCACACTGCGCGAATGCGGTTCCCAGCCAAAAACAACGTTTTATTTTTTACATTTTCATCATGCAACATTTTGGCACCAAACATCCCCCTTGGTAGGCAGCCCTCGCAGGTGGTGAGAGAGGGCGACATGAGTCGTGAGCCGTCGGAGTGGACTCAACCGCGGTAAACGAGACGACGACGAAGTACCAATCTGAACAAAACTCTCTCGCCTACTTCAGCATTTTTTATTGCTGTGGTTGTTCCACCTGATGAAGATTGCTTGTGTTGCGATCGAAACGTCGTGATTCGTTTAATTTGATTTCTACCTACGTGACTTTACCGAAAGAACCAAAGAGTATGGATTCCTGCAGTCACGAAGCTTCAAATCAAGATTAAAACTCTGGAGTTGGTTCTCACAAGGCTGATGAATTTGTAACCAGAGGCACGAGGTTTGATGAATTTCCTTTCAACCGAGTAACCGACATCCCCCTTCCCTTTGCCTGACCAACATGTTCTGAGAAATAAATTACGAACGATGAACATCGATATTTTAATAGACCAATTGTCCGTTTTGTGAGGAATATCCCTAACTGGTGGGTAACTTGCAAGCGAATACAAAAACAAAGTTAACGGACAGCTATGCATGCGTGAGGTATTTTTTTTACTCTAGGTAACCGCATTATTATCACTACCATACCTGTCACTACTAGAGGAACAGAAAATAATTATTTCCTTCCCCTTATGTATACAGTATATAGCTATCTTGGCTTCAATTTTCATTTCCCCTGCATAGAAAGTGTGTGGCAGAGGCGAGTGGCATCTGTGTGTGGCTATAGCATTAGAGAGATATACAAAAACGGCGTGCAGCATGGAAACACTTTGCTGTGTACAGCGCGTGATGGGCATTCATCTGTGCTTCTGTCTAAAGCTCAAGGTGAGTGAAGTCGGTTCAACAAATGGCCTATACCTCCCTCTCTTAAGGTTTGCTTTGGGGTTGTAGCTGTGAAGGTGTATGAGTATTTATAACCCACACTAAGCAATTGATTCCCTTGTCCGCATAATTATCTACCTGCCTACGCATTATCACTCATTCACCTCGAGTACCTTCCAACTCACCTACCTAGTCATGGCCAACACCCCATCCCTTTGTCGGGGTAAAATGGCCATGATGATACACTGAGTCAGCACAAACTGAGGTTCTGGGTTAAATTCTTGGTCCGAGCATCTCTGAATTTTACAAGGAATGTATAATGGCTGGGTGAGGGCAGTAATCAATCTTAAAGCCTTAGTTTTCAAGTCAGCAATCCGGAATGACCACACCACTCCTCAGTGCCATGTGCCTGCCCGTTGTAGGCGCTCGCTCACTCACAACACTTACCCAAACAGTCCACTAAGTCTATGAGGGGGATCTCTGTCTTCTCTCTTTGCCGATACAGGTGTCCGATTATTAAATCGGAGATCAACTATTACAGTGATGCATCCGGTCGGGTAGGAGGAGACGTTAGACTGCGCGGCATCTACAAGGGAAGTTCGACCGTCTCCCAGATATTATGGGCAAAGGAAAACAAACCAAATGCTTGTGAATGTAGCAACTGCGCAGAATGATAATACTAGTTTTGTCTTTGATGTGTGAGTTCAAACAGCGTGTGACTTTCGTTGGCTACGGAATTAGAGATGGCTCATCACACATCAATATCTGAGCACCTCCGACAGGTACATCTGCAGATTCATGACGAGTCGGGAATAAGGAGGTGAAGATCAACCTCATCGGCGCGGTGAGTTTAATAAATAAGCGGTGGTCATTTCCTTAATGAGGCTATACAATTATTCATCAATGAAGTGTGTTTATTTTATTTTCGTCGGAGATAGCTTGAATATCCATTGAGCGGTGAATGACCACCAGAGACTGCGACGAGACGACACATGACCAGGTCTGTATGAAGATGCACACTGAGACAATTCAGTCACGTCATGAGATGCTGCGGAGCACTGAGGCAGACCAGAGATTACCAAGTCAAAGCGATCTCCTTCTGCTCAAATGAGCATTGAGAGGTGATGCGCATTCCTATTTACAGCCTTGAGAGCCA